CGCAAACGGAAAAAAGCGCAAACTGAAAAAATCGCAAACAGAAAAAAGCGAAAACAGAAAAAAGCGCAAACAGAAAAAAGCGCAAACGGAAAAAAGCGCAAACAGAAAAAAGCGCAAACAGAAAAATGCGCAACCAGAAAAAAACACAACTAAAAATGTGCAAAAGAGAAATTTAGCACAAAGACCATATGGACTAGATGACAAATTTATACATGACTGTTAGGGCTGCTGTGAGAGTGTCGTGTTTGATCACGAGATCTACTACCATTTAAAGCGTACCACTACCATCTGCATTCCCATCACCACGATACAGGCGATAATCACTTTACACATAGCCTATTATTTTCTTGGTCAATAATTATTCAACTGCTATTCTCGTATAAATAAACATAAAACTATCCTTGATATCGACATTACACGAAGTGTCTCTCCCTAGTCCGAACTACCTAGCTTGCATACCATAACAACCCGTTCCTAACATGAATTCGTCATATTTCTCGCAACAATATTCATTCGCACCAAAATACCTGATAAAACACACATCATAACAATGATGTTTTTACTATTATTTCATTATGACGCTGTATCCCCATCCCCACAGTGGATCAAACTCTAAAGGAAATTACAGTGGGGAGTATTTGTACTGATGTAACTGTTAGTTCTCTCCCCTTGTCTACACAATGTAAACAAACACAATTGCGGAACGATTCCCGTCATAAAAATGTTTGAGTTAAGACTAGCATGTCTTGTAAACATTTTATTACATTTAAATGATTAAAACAAATGTTTTGATTGATTTAAACCTTTTAACCGTCAAAACTTGCAACTACCATAATGTATTTTCGGCACATTTCATGTTTAATGTTGTAAATATTATCTCTAACAAATTTCTATCAATTGAAGTTTAAATAAACTAAACTGATACCAGACACAACCGTTAAAATCTACATCTTGTGTTGTCCTACTCCAATAGAAATGTTTAGTGAGATCGGAATTTGTCGCTCTGATAGACTGACTCTTGTTTAAACATTTTCTTTATTCTTATTTCATCTAAATACTTTCACCATCTGGTGATAGAGCACTCGCATGTTGAAATGTAAGTCTCTCATTCCTAAGTTCATCCAGCTCTGATGGGTACCTGAGTAATTCGGGAAATATATACCCGGTTGTGACCACAAAATTGATTTGTATGTCATGTTCAAAGAAATATATTAAATCTATTTAATCTGCTAGATTATCTAGATTGACCTTCACATTTTAAAGATACCGTTACTTTTTTCGCTTTTATGGCAAAAGTTGTTAAATATTTGTAAAATTTAAAACCATGGTTAATGCACATAACCAACGATTCAAAATGAGCTCGCAAAAATCTTAAAGATTATGCTGGCACGGTTTATTTTTTAAGTATATTTTAGAGCTATTTTAATGCATCTAATATTGATCAAAGTAATTACAAGTTGCACTGATAAATATACCCGACATTTTGTCTGACAAGTGCAAGTTCTTTATTTTATAAGGACCAACGACCAACTGAATAGAAAAACGTTTACGGTCAAAGGGAAGCAACAATGAAAATGTTTTACAACTATAGATTTTCTTGATTATCTTTCTTTTTTTTAAAAACATGTTCCAACCGATAATAAATTTCGTATAACTGGAAGCAAAAATAGTATATTTCTTTTGTAATAGCATAACTGTTTTTGGTAGCATTTTTCTACTTTCAATACGTGACAACATATTAAAGATGATCACGCGATAATGAGCACCATATAAAACAGTAAAATATATATTAAAGAAGGTTTTATGTTGTTGAATCTACATTTCTCCTACACAGTCATTCTGTGTGTTGCTAGGTAGACAGAAGCTCTTTATACTTCACAGATTTAAATTTAAAAGAGCAAAATATAATTCATTAAACTACAATTGTATGGTTATGTTATTGTAAACATTTGTATTTGCAAGATAAAGCCATCTACGTTAAAATTATCTAATCCTGAATAAACTACTGTATATTATCCATTAACTACAACTCTACCCATGCTTGCTGCTCTAGCTGTACCATCCACTATCATCCACCAGACTTTCTTCTCCTCGACTATACCGTACTTAAAATGCAGACATTATCAGAATTATCTTCACTGTTGTGACACAATGTAACATGTAGTATACCAGGTCATAGCTTGTCTAAGCCTTTAGCCAGTCATAACGGTGTAATCAACAATGAGAGGACCAGTCGTAGCTAATCATTGCTAAAGACAGGTAGGCCTACTTGACTTGACATTGTTTTACGCTAAGTCTTAAAGCAATGTTTATACATTAGGTGCAGGTTGTAAATGTCAAATGTCCTATCAGTTTGAGTTTTTTTTTTGCTGACAGAAGAATATAACAGAGTACATTTAAAAACCGTGTTAAATCTCTTTATACTCAACAATGGAAGAAATTAACCTCCATCGTGATATGGGGACATTAGTGCATTGTATAAAATGGGTTACATTATATGACTTCTTCTTAACCTGTGTGACTTTGACTTACTTGACTTAGTCCTCTTTGCTCCTTATGGAGCATAGGGCCTCCACCATTTCCTTCCATTTCTTCCTATCCTCGGCTATTAATTTTGACATCTCCCAGGACATCCCTGTTGGCTTCAGTTCTTCAAGAAGACTCCGCCTCCAGGTCTGTCTTGGGCGCCCTCTCTTCCGCTTTCCCTGGGGGTTTCACTCAAGCGCTTGGCGCATAACATTTGTGTGAGCCTTTTGCAATATGTAATGTGTTATGTTTTGTTTATTTTTGTTCTTTTTGTATTATTGCCTTTGGCCTTTAATTTACGCAAGTAAATTTACTTTGAATTGACAACGTTTTAATGATCAAAGGGAAATAACAATGAAAATAATTCGCTTACAAACAATGTCATTGTTGTCTTTCTTTTTAGTACATTCAGAGCCGTACATTTTGTTGCAAACGTTATAGAATACTTGAATAAAAACAATTCCAAAAGAGATGCTACCGTATCAGCACCATTGTACGCGTCAAACCTTACAGAAAGAGTTTTTAAGTTGCTTTTAATACAATAGTGCCAAGCTGGGTAACAATGTCTTTTCTTAAAAAATTACGTTCAGCTACTAAAAACTAATAAATCGGGAGTGATCTCCCCTAAAGTTTCTCGAATATTCTTTTATAAAAAAAACAGGGGATGGGAACTCGGGATATAGACATGAATTTTAATCCATTTTAAATACTTAAGCTTAAAATAGAATAAAATCTCGTAGAAAAAAGAATTGCACACCTGTGAACGCCAAATAAAATGTGCATCATAGTGCGGATTATTATTAGTAGCCTACTTTATAAATTCACATGCGTTTTTCTTTTTTTTTTGTAAAATCTGGAACAGCGTAAATTACTACTTCCGGTCAACGGAAATTACTTAAAATTTGACAGAAGGCAGAGAATTTTATCGTTTACTTACATGCGGAATTTATTTATTTATCTGAAATAGTTCTCAAGTTATAATCATTTGAAAAATTGAAAGTTGAAAAAGTTCCACTTCTGGTTATCGAAAATCGCTCAAAAGTTGATACGGATCTACGATTTTGATACAATACTTATATATGAAATTTCATCAACCTAGCTGTAACGGTACTCAAGCAGAGTTTCTTCATGGCATCTCTTCGAAAAAAAATTAACCACCCGCCCCCCCCCCCCCCCCCCCCGAACGAAATTAAATTTATATAATTTATATAGAAATATATACTTTGGGGTATAATAGAACTGCGATATGATATATATATCAAACAACATATATCATCATCTTGCTTTTAGTAACGATTGGGGAGAGGGATTTCATCTGGAAAAGTATGACATCATTTATGGCCGATCCATTTAAGCCTAGTTGTTCATTTTGTCTGGGGTTTTTTGTGTGTGCTTTGTTTGCTTCCTACATAGCATTCATTTCAATTGAAATTAAAGATAAGAAGACGGCCATCTGTCCTAATTATATTAAACAAGACAGCTATGTGTATTAAGGGAATATGCGCGGAAAAAAATCACAAAATTTCTTGTTTTTAGTCATGATCGGTTTCTTACACTTTTGGATACTTTGTCCATTTTTGTATAAAGAAAATAATAAATTTAAAGAGAAAAAAATATTTTATGTGTTTGAATTACGATTTTTATGACCCTATTAATTAAAAAATAATTAATTTTTCCCAATCTTAAAAGCTCTCTATGAAAAGTTTTATATCCGTCATTAAATTGTATTTGACATCATTGGAAAGCTGGATTTCTTAAGTATCTAATAAAATTAATTTCCTACATCTCGGAAACACCCAAAACTTACAATAGGCTTTGCAGTTTACACAGATATGGTACTTTCCTGACCTAGTTTTCGTTACTTTTGGCTGTTTTTCTCAGTTCGCATGTTTTTAACACTAAAAAGCCGACTACTTTTTTATTTATTAAACAATGCCAACCATATTTTCAGTAATTGTTCTTCATGCAAAAATACAACTTTTGTCACGAGGGAATTGTGATTGCTTTAATAGAAAAAAAGTATTTGGTAATTAATATGCAAATTTTGAAACTTTTGAATACTAAAAAGGGTACAATATTTTAGACCTTGAAAATTTCTTACTAGATCTAGTAATTATTTCAAAAAGTTGTCGTGACAAAAGTTTTAATATATACTGAAATATAAGCAGTTTAAATTTGATTGCTATAGGTGCATAAATAAAAAAGCCTTAGTATTTTTAAGAGTACCGAAACATTCAAAATGGCGGAGGTTTTTTGGGTTTCCATGACAACCAAAATTGTTTTTGACCCTTTTTTTTGCTGTTTAATACTTACTTTTATATGCCAAATATGATAAAAGTACTCAAAAGGCTTTAGATCTTAAACTGTAGAAAATAGAAAAATACATAGCATATCCCCTTAAACGACAAAGTCAGCACAATATAGATCTAAGAATAGACATTTTTATCAAGGGAAACTACTCCAAATTTTAATTAGCAAGATGGCCGCTGTTTGGATCTACTAACATTTATCTCAAACTCAAACACCTTGTTTTAAGTTAGTTTATGATATTTTAAATTGTTTTGGTCACTGATTGTTATTTTAAATCGATTATCTGTTATATTTTGTACAATTTAACTTAAATATACAGCTACTTATTTAAACAAATATATTCATCAGTTACCTCTCCCGTGCATTTTTTCTGCAGCCGAATGGACACCAGCGAGAAAAGTCTCAAAGGTAGATTCTATTTGATTTGAGAGGTCCATAAATTAATTTTAAAATCATGCACGGCGTAGTTACAATTAATATGGTTATAAAATCCTGCCTGGATTTTATAACCATAAAAAAAAAGCAAAAACAATTTGGTTTTCTTCATGTGTTATGGCAACATACATAAACATTAAACAATGGCATCCTGTTATTCGGCCGCCATAAATTTTATTCTACACATTGTAGGCTAAAAATAGAAAAACTAGGTCATGGTGTTTAAATTTGCATTGTTATTTAAAAACTTGATCTGCAAAGTTTTGTAAACAAAAAAACTATAAAGTGGGGCTGTCGGAAATCGATCACTGAGTTCCTGTACAGCCAATCAATGTTTGTCTTACGAAAGTAAAACATCGGGTTATAACTTAAGCTTGATGAAAATAAATAGAAATGTAGCCTCAAACTCAACAAATTATTTTCAAGTTCTCTGGATCTGCAACTTGTATATAGCATTGATTCTAAAAATATTAAATTTCTGAATTAATTTTAGGCTTATGTTTTTAATAAAATTTTATCTTTTATTATTTTTACGGTCCTAAATCTAAAAAAGCACATTTTTATTCCATGTCAACAACATTACGGAAGGATCTTTGTCAACTCACTGGTGTCCATTGATTACTTAAAATTTAAAATCTAGACTCTAGATCTAGATTCTAGAAATCTAGACTAGATCTAGACTAATAATATCTTAGCAGTAAACTGCTTGAGTCTATTTATATATCATATATATATATATATATTATTTATTTTATATATAATATGACCTAGGGCCTACATGACTGCACTATTATCAAAATCTTGCCTTAAAGTTGTATTTTTTTTAAGTCAAAATTCTACCTGTAGACAACACAGTCCAGACTAGTAAAGTACTTGACCAATGGTTACTTATATAATGACTACCATTATGACTGATTATGAACTTAAATTCTCACAGATGCCCCTGTGTTCATCCAGTTTCAAAGTTTTGCAATTACATGCATTAACAGATAAAGACAGCTGAGTGTCTATAATTCTGCAAGTGTCATGGCTCATTGTTTAATTGATTATAACTTATTAGAGGACACTTTTACATGCTTATATAACCAATAGGATTCAGCATCTGTTTTTGCTTTAAGCTGTTTATGAGTCCTGAGTTGCCATCCCTCTTAATTTTATATTAGAATATTCGAGAAAGTTTAGGGGAGATCACTCCTGGTTTATTCTTCCTGTTTTGCCACTTATAAGCATTCAAGTGTTTATGACACAATGTGGTATATTATGTTTCCAGAGGTTTATTAGCTTTTAGACTTGTGTCTATAGTTGCAATTTAAAAAAATTGACCATTCATGTATAATAAAATACAGTGATTTGGTTAGCAGTGCCACACCACACCATCTGTTATAATGAATGTTTTTGTTACAGTTAACTAGTATAGTTTAGTATTCTGAAATTTTCAGATGTACCATGGTGACAACTATAACAGAGACCTGGGTATTCAGGTACAGAGGATTGGTGTTGTGAATGACTGCGGTAAATAAATTTTACTCATTTATTTTTATTGACTTTTTTTTCAGTACATACATGTCTGATATCTAACAATACTAATATCTTTAAAAATCTATTCTACCTCATGACAATAACTTTAACAATTCATGCTAGACTTATTCAGTCAATACAAAATAATAGTGAAGCAAATGTCTAATAAATATCATTCTCTGCCTGTATACTGTTAATTAGCTCTGCTTGATACAGTTTTTAAACATTAAATTTAAAAAGTAAACCTTTTTGAGCTGGCGATCCATGGGGCAGATGAAGTTGAGTTTACCTGTTTGTGCAAAAAAAAATAAAGTGGTCAGTGGTCAGCAATATGCCCATTCACTTTTACTTTCCTTACTGTCAGTTAGGTACCCATCCGAGCTGGACATCCTACCGACCCCACTTTACACTTTGGTTAGCAGTCATACACTCTATAATTTGGCCACACCATGTCTATTCCCCTAAAATTTGTCATATATAATTATGAAAATATTTTCAGATATCTATCAATGTCAGCACTGCAAATTGGATTTTTCAACACTCTTTCATTATAATTTGCATTTGAAATACAAACATGAAGGGGAAAACCTTGACAATAAGAATCTAGATTTCACAGTTGACACTAGTGAACATTCTAATCAGTTATCTAATTTTCATCAGCACCATGGAATTCATAAATGGAAAAAGCATTGTAAGTGTGACAATTGTGGTAAATATTTTACAAGTCTCCAATATTTAGAAGTACACCTTTTAATTCATATAGGAGAAAAGCCTTACAAATGTGGCATATGTTGGAAATGTTTTAGAACTCGTACTCAAATGTATAGGCACTTAAAAATTCATACAGGAGAAAAGCTTTACAAGTGTGACCAATGTGGTAAATGTTTTCGAAATCTTTATCAAATACAAATGCACATTATAATTCATACAGAAGAGAAGCCTTACACATGTAGCATATGTTGTAAAGGTTTTACCCGTTTGAGTAACTTAAAGATTCACCAAAGAGTTGACTCAGGAGAGAAGCCGCACAAGTGTGACCTATGTGGTAAATGTTTTAACCATTTGTGTAGCTTAAAGCAACACCATTCAATTCATACAGGAGAGAAGCAGTATAAGTGTGACCAATGTGGTAAATGTTTTGCCCATCCGTATGGCTTAAAGCAACACCATTTAATTCATACAGGAGAGAAGCCGTACCAGTGCGACCAATGTAGTAAATGTTTTACTCATTTGTGTACCTTAAAGCAACACCATTTAATTCATACAGGAGAGAAGCCGTACCAGTGTGACCAATGTGGTAAATGTTTTACCCAATCCCGTAGCTTAAAGCGACACCATATAATTCATACACGAGAGAAGCCGTACAAGTGTGACCAATGTGGCAAATGTTTTACCTATGCGTTTAGCTTAAAGCAACACCATTTAATTCATACAGGAGAGAAGCTGTATAAGTGTGACCAATGTGGTAAATGTTTTACATATTTTGGTAATGTGAATACACATCTTAGAATTCATCAGGGAGAGAAGCCTTAAAATTTTTATGTTATGCAGTAAATGTATTACAGATTCCTCACATTTCATTGAACATAATTTAAAAACCTCTACTGAAATAAATCCAGAATGACCAGACACTTATCTTTTTACTTTCTTGTTTACAGAGTTTAGAGCAGTGGTGGGTGTGGTGTGTTTGGGTCTGTGGTGTGGTGGGTGGTGTGGTGTGTGTGGTGTGTTTCAGTAAACACAATAACTTGAGTACCATTTCATTTATGTTGACAAAACTTCATAATGTTTGCAGTTTTCTGTCAACATTTGAGAGACATCAGGTAAGTGGTATGTACTGTACTTCTGGTCTCTTTAAAGCCTATAACTTAAGTACAATTTTTAAAAAGTTAGGTAGATTAATTTTTTCACATACAAGTTTTAGATTGTATGCGCAGGTTTTAGCCAACTTTTAAACAATTTCTGGTTATTGGAAGTGTTATTTTGTTTCTGTGGAAATACAATTACTTGAGAACGGTTCAGTTATGTAAACGGAATTTCATGTTTTAGACCATATATGTATCATAAAAAAGTTCAGGAGATCACTTCAGGATGTACGCGTCAAGAGTGGAGCTGATGTTGCTTCAGACCATTACCTACTTGTAGCTAAAGTAAAACTCAAACTGAAGAAAAACATGTTGGAAAACAAGGAAATACAGATACAATACAGGCCTGCTAAAGGACCCCTCTAAACTCAATGAATTTAAACTTCATATGTCCAATAGGTTTCAGGTACTACAAGAACTAATAGAAGAAGAGACGATAGAGGAAACATGGAAAAAACTAAAAGCATATAAAGGCACTGCACCATGGTAATATTAGGGACGTGTACAATACAATTAAGAAGATATCTGGTAAGTACAGTAAGCCAGAGACGCCAGTGAAAACCAAAGATGGAAAGACAATACCTGATGCGGAAGGACAGATGAAGAGATGGGTAGAACATTTTGAAGATTACTAAATAGACCAACACCATAGTGCACTGAAAGTGATCTCCTTATAGACTGCAACCCACCTTCAAAAGAAGAGATACATAAAGCTATAAAGCAGCAGAAAAATTGGAAGGCTCCTGGAATAGATGGTATACTGGCAGAAGCACTGACAGCAGATATAGAAACTAGCACCACACACTCTTCAAGAAAATCTGGGAAGATGAACAAATACCAGAGGAGTGGAAGTAGGCGATCTTTGTGCATGCTCTAACTATAGAGGGATAACACTTTTGTCCAACCAGGCAAAGTCTTCAACAGAATATTATTAAACAGAATGAGGGAAGCGATAGATCCCCAGCTCGTGATCAACAGGCGGGCTTTTGGAAGGAAAGGTCATGCATAGACCAAATTGCTACCCTGCGCATCATCATTGAACAGACCCAAGAGTGGAACTCATCTCTCTATATTAATTTCATAGACTATGAGAAAGGCCTTTGATAGCCTGGATAGGCAGTCAATGTGGAAATTGTTGAAACACTACGGGGTGCCACAGTTGGAGAGACTAGCCCTGGACGGGTCCGAAGAGCCTGGTACGTCGGACTCCCAAGTCCCCCACATTATAGCGTGGGGGAGGAGAGGTGCAAGACTAGGCTCAAAAAATGGACGAACGCCCCCCACGATCAAGCTGGGTACCAGGCGGTAGGACGACGTCCCGCGTCTGGTGGGTGGGGAAGGAAAGCCCGGTGAGAGCCAACGGAAGTAGCGACCAAGGTGTGGGAAACTCTTTAAAGGTCGGAGTTTGCTACACTGAGGCCTGCCTGGCTAATGGAAGTAAACCTTCTGAGCCGGTTTCCGTATAAGGAAGGAAGCCCTGGACAGAGACGTCTGGAAAGCTCTTGTCAGCGGACTATGTCCCCGTAGGGACGACAGGCAAACATGTCATGAACATGACATGATCTCCTCTAAACTTTCTCGAATATTCTTTTATGAAACAACAGGGGATGGCAACTCGGGATATAGACATGATTTTTAATCCATTTTAAATACTTACAATTTTTAAAATAGAATAAAATGTCGTAGAAAAAAGAATTGCACACCATCTGAACGCCAAATAAAATGTGCAAATTAGTGCGGTATATTTTTAGTACTTTATAAATTCACATGCGTTTTTCGAGAAATCAGGAATCGCAAAAATTACTACTTCTGGTCAACAGAAATTTCTCAAAATTTGATAGACGGCAGACAATTATTTCTTTTACTTACGTGTGAAATTTCATTTGTCTATTCTGAAATAGTACTCAAGTTATAGGCTTTTGAAAAATTGAAAGTAGAAAAAGTTCCACTTCTGGTTATCGCAAATCGCTCAAAAGTTGATACGGATCTACGATTTTAATATAATACTTATAATATGTTATATATGAAATTTCATCAATTTAGCTGTAACGGTACTTAAGTTATCATGTTTACACACACAGACACACACACAGACATACGGACAAGATTGCAAAACTATGTTTTTCTGACTCAGGGAGCCAGTGTTTCTTCCAGACTTTTTTCTCCGGGGGGGCACTTGAAATTTTCGGGGGGGGCGGTAGACTTTCTTCGGGGGGGGGGGGGCGGACACTGTTAAAAGTATATATTTTCTATATAAATTATATAAATTTCGTTGGGGGGGGGGGGCGGTAAAAAATTTTCGGGGGTCTTCGCCCCCCCCCCCCCCCCCCCCTGAAGAGATGCCTGGAAAAACTCTGCAGGGAGCTGTAAAACATCGAGATTTGAACAAAATCTAGAATTTTTTTTTTGCACGATTTCAAGACTTTCTCTGTACTTCGTATATAGGAGAAAGTACAAATATAATCATCGTCGTGGTTTGACACATTCGGAGACATGTGTGACGGAAGGTGAAAGGGAAGGGGGGTGTTAATTACATTATGAATGTTGAGTAAGGCTAACGAAATAATAAGCCTGCAGGGATGTGACTTTACACAATAATTTATAGCGTAATTCGAATTTTCATTCCGAACTTTTCCGCTGATATTTTACACTGTAATTTACTGTGACAATTTTTTTTATTTGGAAAAGACGTATCTGAAAGAGTTTCAGCTCTTCAAACGAAATGTACGTCTCCTGAATCCAATTTTTTTTAAAAATTAATATTAAATACATAGTAGTCTAGGTATAATTTACATACCGGTATTTTTAATTCACCAACCCCTCATAGCCCGTTTTTAAAACTACCCCACTACCATTGCGGCCTTCTTTTAATTTAATTTGGAAAACTCAAATAAATTGTGAAATCTTTGCTAAACGTCTTTTATTTTTAAGGACTAGATTAATCCGCCACTCCTTGTAGCAACGAACGCTGATTTTTGAGGTCAGCTTAACCCCATAATTGGTTTTTAGTAATTAGACTACTAAAGTAAGTCTATGTAATATAGGTTGATGACGAAATCATAAGAAAAGCCAATTTATGCTAGCAAGTAGTGTATACATTCATTATAAAAAAAAATTAAGTCTTGAAATTTCACGAAAAAAAAAACTTGTTCTTTTACGGAGTATAACAAAAACTAACAAAGGTATTCAAATAAAACTTAGCACCATTTTTTTAATCGCTTAATAATATAATACACTAAAAAATTTAAGTTGGCATATCAAACTTTATTTATTTATTTATTTTTTTACATTTTTGATAACAGGGCTTAAAATTAATAAATGTTGGGTCGAAGAAAAAATTGTTGTAATAAAATCTATAATAGATACAGCTATTACTTTAGCATACTTTGTTCTACGAACATACAGTAAAGTTTGTGCGGAATTTAGTATAAGTATATTGAAAATTGTAGGAGTAATGTACTCATGAATTATTTTTCAATGTCGTTTTCTCCAAAATTAATGACTAACTTTTTTAAATTGAAGTACACAATATGTAAAAGCAAAACGTGTGTTTCCTGTAAAATTTTACCACCCTACTTGATTTAAAATAAGTAAAGTAAGTCTTATTTTTAAAAAGTCAAATTATGGGGTTTAAGCTGTCCTTAAGCTGATATGACCAATTGTTCGGATGTTACATAAGCTATCTAGGTCTACTGAGTTCTAAAGTGATCTCGCCTTGACCGAATATTCTCCCATAGAAGTCAGGAAAAAGTCTGGAATTTTACTTACAAATAAACCGGGAATAACTTCCCCTAAACTTTCTCGATTATTCTTGTAAAACACTAGGGGAGATGGCACATTGCTATTTAGATATGATTTTAATGCATTTTTAATTACTTAAACTGTCTTAAACCATTAAAACATTTCATAAAATGTTTTTAGTGCATTATTACAAAAAGATTGTTATTAAAACGTTTTTTTTATGAAATTATTTTTAGTACTTTACATGTTTTTATTTACATTAGAGTTACATGACTAAAAACCATTGTGCGCCTATTGAACGTGATGACGCGCTTTTGTCATGACGACGCGTGTGGATATTTAATGTCATGTTGCGTTGTCTTCATGTCTTGACCCACGTGCATCCTACGAACCGTATATGTCAGGTAGAAGTGCCTGCAATTTCACTCGGCCGTTTCGATCTAGACAGACAGAGGAAGTGAGTTAAATAAAAGCTTGTAAACATTTTTCATAAAAAACGTTTTAAAAACAAGCTTTTATGTAATAATTCACTAAAAAGGAGAAAATAAATTATACACACATGAGCATCAGACGGCGCCCCGGCGGTCATATTACTCGCTCCAGGTTTCCCAATGTGCAATATGTCGTCTATATTCGTTTTAACGAGCGCCATTCACTAGGGATACGGGAGGGGGGCGGGGGGGGGGGGGGCTACTGAAATCGATTCTGTATACGAAACTACCTATTCAAATTACTTGTACCATTTGCAGATAGTTAACACGCCTACGGGAAATGCAGGCGTTTGGCCTACCTATATTCTAACTTAAACACATGCCAGTACATGTATTTTGTAATATATGAACACGGCTAGCATAGATGTAAACTCAATGTATGCTACGACCATCTACACTCATTGTATGCTACGGTTCACGTACATTCAATTTATGCTATCATGACCTACACTCATGTTACGCGTACGTGATATATATATTTCTTATACGCTACCTCCGCCACGTATCTGCTACCATCAAATTATTTC